TGGGACAGGTGGGCATGATGGGCCACAGGAAGGGAGGCCTAACCTGGGATTCTCTGGCCAAGTGACCAGCAGTACCTTAGGGTCCAATCTCCATAAAGACTTGTGTGGCAAAGAGGAATGAGAGTTACTAGCTCTTTCTGTGTTTGCAATAACGTGATAAATAAAAGTCTTTGTGTTTTCAAGACTTGTGGATGTAACAGACTGTGTGCTGGTGGTGTTTTGTTTCGTATTTGGGACATGGTCTTTCTTAGGCAGTATTAGCCACCCATTATGCAGACTCTGTTAGTAGCAATCTTCCTGCACCTGCCTTCCCGAATGCTGAGATTATAAGGCATGGGCCACACTCTCTAGTTGAGACCAGACTCTTGGACGGAACTTCTTTGTTGAGCAAATGAAAGCCAACAGAGCACACATCAGCCAGTCCTGGTGGTCACAGTGAGGACAGGCCTGTCTGAGCCATCACATGTGGGAGACAGAGTATAAACAAGCCCACCCCAGGCCACCTCAATAGGCCTGACTGTAGTTGGGCCTTTCCCAGGGCTGTTATTCACAGACCTCCTTGCCTTGATAAGCCTGGTCTGGGCTCTAGGCCTGAAATCAGACCCCAGAGAAGGAAGAAGTCTCAGCCAAAGCCTGCAGTTTGTTAGTTAACATTTTACCTTAGAGAAGGGCCTGGCTTAAGAAGGCTAAGGCACAGAAAAGGGTGCTGTCCACACAATCTGTTGTAGCCAGGATTGGGGTTGGGGTGGGGTGGGGGTATCACTCTGGGGTCTGGAGGGGTAATATACCAGGCTCATGAGGATACTGAGACCCAGGGAGGAAACAGGCCACCCCAAGGTCACTCAAGGGTCAGTAGGGCACAGGCCCTCACCCTTGAACTCTACCTTCCTCTCATGAGTGTAAAGACTATAGGAAGGGCCTCAGCTCCAGGACACACTCTCCCACTCCCCCCTCTGTGGTCCTCTCATGGGTCCACCATAGCTGTCTTTCCACAGCTGAATCCTGACCACCTGGGAGAGATCAGCTGTCCAGTCAGTTAGTTACTTCTGCCTTCATGTAGATGGGCTCACTTGTCATTCCTTCCTGGAGCCACCTCTTAAAGCCTTTAAGAAATTCAGTTGCCTTGCCTGGCTAGCCACAAGCAGGAGTCTATATTTTGATGAAACTGACAGGCTTGTACCCACACATCTCCAGGTCAGGGAGATCCCTATATAGTCGTCTAGATCCAAATGGCACTAGGTACAGCCTCCCTACAGCTTTCAACCCAGGCCCAGCTCTGCCCACATTGGGGTGCCATATTGGACATGTCCCTCACCTCTTCCCTGGGCATACCTAAAGAGACTGTCTCCACATCAGCTCTGCATGAACTCTTAGACCTTCCTTCAGCCTCTTTCCTACTTGGACAGCCTGGCCCACATCAGTAACACCAGCAAAAACACTCCCTGCAAAGATGACTCTGCAGGTGGGCCCTCTGCCTGGGAGGAGCTTGGGGGAGCTGGGGTGATGTGTAGGCCTGTGTCCTGTCTGACCCGCCCACTGAGAGTGCATGCACCAAGCCTCCCTGCCTTGCTACTGTGTCCATCCCTCCTCTGTCTGCACCACTTCTGTGGGGGCCCCTTGGTCTTTGGCACTCATTCCTGCTGGTCAGAGGTATTGCTTGTTGGATCTTGCCCACCCTGAGCAGATGCCAGCCCAGCCCCTGGATGGAAGCACACACAGACACCACATGGCTGCACAGCAGGGACAATGCTTTATATTACTTTTTCTGTAACAGGAAAAATCAGCTTTGAGATTTTTATCTTTATATATATATATTTTTTTTTTTCTCCTTAAACAAAACCAAAGGTACCCAGAACTTTCCTGCAGAACTGAAGACCAATGCAACCATGCCCCGGAGCCCCCACTGTGCACAGCTGCCTCCTTTCCCTCCCCCTCCTTCTTGAGGTTGTCCTCAGAAAGTGCCTGTGACCTGCCAGGGCACAACAAAAAGGGGCTCCCTGTGGTGGGACTGCCCCAGCACCTGGGGAAGGGGTGAGGCCAGAGGGAAGGCAAAAAACAAAAGCCAGCTTTTGTGAGTCTCAGAGGGTGGAAAGCACCTGGCCACAGAGCAAGGAGACAACCCCAAGTCTCCAAGGGGGAGACAACAGAGGACAAGGCACATAGCCAACTCTTACGGCCAGAGCAGTCCAGAAGCAAGAGCTTTCATTGGTATAGGTCAGTCTGTGTGTGTGTGTGTGTGTGAATTGGGAAGAGGGTAGCTGCCTGAGTGTACCAGGCCAGTGTGGACTCAGAGGTCAGGATGTGGTGGTGGTGGTGGTGGTGGTGGTGGTGGTGGTGGTGGTGTGTGTGTGTGTGTGTGTGTGTGGGTGTGTGTGTGTGTGTGTGTGTGTGTGTGGGTGTGTGTGTGTGTGTGTGTGTGTGTGTGGGTGTGTGTGTGTGTGTGTGTGTGTGTGTGGGTGTGTGTGTGTGTGTGTGTGTGTGTGTGGGTGTGTGTGTGTGTGTGTGTGTGTGTGTGGGTGTGTGTGTGTGTGTGTGTGTGTGTGTGGGTGTGTGTGTGTGTGTGTGTGTGTGTGTGGGTGTGTGTGTGTGTGTGTGTGTGTGTGTGGGTGTGTGTGTGTGTGTGTGTGTGTGTGTGGGTGTGTGTGTGTGTGTGTGTGTGTGTGTGGGTGTGTGTGTGTGTGTGTGTGTGTGTGTGGGTGTGTGTGTGTGTGTGTGTGTGTGTGTGGGTGTGTGTGTGTGTGTGTGTGTGTGTGTGGGTGTGTGTGTGTGTGTGTGTGTGTGTGTGGGTGTGTGTGTGTGTGTGTGTGTGTGTGTGTATGTGTGTGTGTGTGTATGGGACTGTGCAGACAGCCAGTTTGGAGGGTCATGTGCAGCTGGCTGTGTGGTCAAGCTTGGGGTGTGGTGTCTGCACATGTCTGATTGTGTGACATATTACAGGAAGGGGTGGGACACGAGAGATTGTGGTCAGCCTGTGGCATTTGGATGCCCCTTGGGCTCAGCGTTGCGTGTGTCAGAAGGGGGCGCTCGTGAGGCACAGGCCTGGGCTGCAGAAAGGAGTTCGGTGGTCCATCGTCCTGTGGAACATGTTGGAGAGTCAGCGCTGGCTACACACAGCTTTGGGAGAAATGAATCAGAGGGAGGGGGGTTTGGAAGCTAGTTTACTGGGAGTGTGAATGGGGAGGTGCCCCTGAGAGTCTCGAACCAGAACTCTCTGGGACTTCTCCAGCAATCCATTCAGTTGACTTGACTATGGCCAACATCCACAAAGGGGAAGATTCTTCCTAACCCCAGAACTCCACAGCCCTTCCCCGTGAGAGCCAGGAAGTCCTCATGGAATAGCACCTTCCTGCTGACCCCTGGCTTTTAAGGACAGAACCTGAGACAAGGCCATAGCCGGCCCTGGGAGCTGGGTCTACCCCTCCATGCTCACAACCCTGTCATGCATCCATTAGTGGATACCTTGTCCCCATCATCTGATCTTATCCATCAATATTCCCCCCACCCCAACTACCAGCTCCTCCCAGCTTCAGGCCCCACTTCAAGTCACTATCCTAACTGTGGCCATGACAGGCAGCCTGCACCCTGGCCTCTTAGCCCCTAACACATTCTCTGAAGTCCTAACTAAAATTAGACATCCCCTCTGACCATTGCTCTCTTCATGGACACTCCCTATCACCTGCCCAGGTTTCCACACCCTCCCCACAGCTCTGCTACCAACACTTTCACCTGCCCCTCCTCCTGTCCAGGCTACCAAGCCTGACCCCCAGGACAGAGACTGTTAATCTATCCAATTTCTTTGGTCCTTGTCTTCCTGGTCCCACAACCCTAACCAAAAAGCTAGCCATGGATGAATCCAAATCTCTGCTTAGCATCTTCTACTGCATGGATAGAAAGCTGATGATCTCAGCTAATGTGACCAGATCCAGCCATCAAAGCCACTAGCCTGTCTGTGACTGCAGCCACTCAGATCCCTGGCCCTCCTTCCACAGTGGAACAATTACCAGCCTCCTGCAATCCCTACAGCAACCCTCATACCCACTCTCCTCACTGTACCACCCTCCCTCCACAGCATATCCCATGAGCAACCATTCCACCTGTGCCCAAAGGAGTACCAAGCAGAGTGAGCCTTTGTGAGTTTTACATGGCCTCCTCTCTACTGCCCCTCAGCCTTGCCACCCCAGAGTAGATATATTCTCTGACTTGCCAGTCACTCTCTCCACCCCTACCTCCCCCTCAGTTGTTCCCTGGGAAGTCACAGGGACTCTGTAGACATAGCCAGTTAGGCTCATAGATTCATCCAGTTAGGCTCACCAGTGCCCACCTCCCTCAAGCTCTTAGCACTGAAGTAGCTTGAGTCCCCTGCTTCTAGAGAAGTCCATGCATGTACTAGGTATGTGTGTATATGTGTGTCCACAAGTAAGCCTGTATGAATGGGTACCAATAGACATACCTCTATGCACACTTCTTCACACAGATATGTACATGTTGTTGCCTGTGACTATGTCCTGGAGTAAAGTATGTATGCATGTACACATGTATAGATGCTTGTGTGTGCAAACTTCCTTTACATTAATGGTCTACGGCTGCCCTCTCCCTCACTGCCCTGGACAAGCTCTTCCAGCCCCCTCGTGGTTTCTATACCTATCTCAAGGCCTAGAGTGACTACATCCCCATCCATCTCCAGCTCAGGCCTCTCTCCTGAGCCCCAGACTCAGGAGTCTCCGCACCCCAGGTATCTCCCAGTACAGTGCTCATCTGCTTGTGTTAGAATGCCTTGGCACAAACTGGCTTCCATGGGTGCTCTGCCACAGTAGACTCTCCCTCCCATGGTGCAATCCTACATTCAAAACAAACTGACAGATTTTCAAAATGAAGGGAAAGAATAGAGGACATGGTGAGGATGACACACAGAAACCTAAGATGGGGCAGGGACAGTGTGATGAGAGAGAAACACCACACCCACACAGACCACCCACCTGGGTCAGATTGGTGTCATTTTGTTACGGTCCCGTTTCCTCTTCCTCATCCTCCTCATCCTCCTCTTCTTCCTCTTCCTCATCTATGTGGCCCCGGTCCTTGGAAATGTCACCAACCTCAAAGTTGCCTTCAATGTCCAAGACCTGCAGGTGTTTCAGCCTCCGGAAGGCGCTTTCCACCACGGAGCCCATGGCCAGCTTGTTAAATCTGAGTGGCGGTCCATGAGTCAGTGTCAGGAGCCCAGGCTGATGCCCTCATGCCTGCCCAGCTCAGAAGGGAAGGGGGAATGGAGTGGGTGTCCGGGAAATGGCACAGCAAGTTGTAAAGGTTGGGGACTAAGAAGCATGGTGCACCATGGCAAGCAGACCTTTTAGGGCACTGACAGCTGGGAGGAAGGGAATGGCAGAGGACTGTCATCTACAAGGCAAGAGAAGTCTCCCATATGCATACACTCACTTCATCCACAGAGTAGCAGCCATGGGAGTTGTCTCTGCTGACCTCTGGCACTAACCCCAAGACCTGACCGGCACACAGGCAAGGTCATGGCTGAGCTGGTAAGGGATTTACTCAGTCCTGACTTTGGGCCCAACAGTGTCTCAACTCTGCTCAGAAGCCCAAGTCACACCACCTGGAACCTTCTGCTATCATCTGTTCTGTCTCCTCTCTGATCTGGGGGAGGGGTCGAATTGGGGGTGTGGGTGGGGTTGAGAAGAAGCCTGTGGAGTCTGAGTTCCCTGAAGTCCTAACCCCAGAGCCCAGAGGGATCTAGGCATCTGCATTCTGGTCTGACACCTGAGGCCCCCCTGGCTGGCTGTGAACACAGCTGTCACCTGTGTCCTCATAGCTTCTGGTTAGCAAGATGCTCTCTGGGCCTCCTCTCAAAACACCCTACACTTAACACTAGTCATTAAATGTTTCTGATGCCTGCTAATAGACTTATGAGCCCTTGCAGGGTTGCCAGAGCTGTGCTCATACTCTACCTGCCAGCTACTTCCCGGTGTCTCAATGGTCCATTTATTGTTAGATGTGGGGTCAGGAGGGGGCGGGTGCAAGCCAGGCTTTGGGGACTTCCTACCTGAGAAAGACCCCTTTGAGGTTGGGAGTGGAGTCGAAAGCGTTGGCAGGAACAGAGCTGATCTTGTTATTCTGCAGGTACAAGTACTCAAGCGATGGGGGGAGCCCCTGGGGGATCTCTGTGAGCTGGTTCCCAGCGATGTCCAGCAGCTGCAGAGGTGAGGAGGGGGGTCAAGGACTCCCATCTGTGCAGGGCACTTAACAGCTAACAGACTCCCACCAGGCTGTAGTCTATCTACATCTAATGAGAACCTCTGTGTGTGTGTGTGTGTGTGTGTGTGTGTGTGTGTGTGTGTGTGTGTGTGTGTGAGAGAGTGTGAGTGGCG